ATATATTCTATTTAATAAAACACAAAAGTATTTTAATTTTTATATGGTTTTGCACATAACCAAATTATTTCAACATTTTAAAAGAATTATTGAAATGTTACCTGATCGATTGGAAGAGAATACTGGGTGTCTGGTTCCACGATAAAATTCCATTTACCACCATTCACACGTGCATATGTCGTATCACTGGACCTTTTAGGCAATAGATCAAAATATGAGAAGAAATTTAACACAGTAAGCACGTTCAATTGCTCAATTTACCATATATACATTTTGGGACTATAAAAAAAATCTATGAAAAATCCAATTTCACCTTTTCACCACCAGTTCCCTCTTTTCGGCCCAAAATACTCTGTTTATAGTCTGTACATTCCTTCAAAAGATTGGGACAAAAATAATCAAAATTTTTGATTAAAAACTGAAAATTGACTCAAATTTTGTCTGTTGGCCTCAAAATTAGGCTTCAATGCCATAAATATTGAAAAATTGAAGAAGAAAAAAGTGCAGAAAAATTTGGGCAAGGAATTGTGGTGTAAAGGTGAATAAGAGTGAAGCAATGAATGCTCATTGTATACCTATTCAGCATTAAAGTATTTAAATAGTTATATACCTATTAGGACAATCGTACTCACCACCACCTGTTATGTGCTATGATAGGAAGACCAATTTTATCTGACAGATATCTACAGGCAATTAAAACAAAGAAGATATTATCATAAATAAACACTGTTGGAATTTACCTATTTTAAATCATAGAAGTCTCTAATGAGATTTTTTTTACATCGACTAAACTGAGCATAAAACACATCACAGTTTTTGAAACATGCTTTCAGAGCAATTTAAAGGTTATGATGATGTCATTAAATCACTTATGGAACCGCAATCACTTTTAGATGAAATATTTTCAAAATTTCTTCCAAAATACATACTGTGAGTAGAAAGTAACTACGCAGTGACGGATTTAGAAAATTGGGGGCATGTTGCATCTCTGAACCCATGATTACTCATACCCATATAGCCCATAATGCAATGCGGAAATGATGTCATTGTAATGGTGCATACCTTCAAATGGGCACACTGAATCTGCCCCTGAACTATGGATATTATATCATTTTCTGCGCATATTAAATCAATGATCACATGGCATATGATGTAATTATTTTCAACACAAATATATTAATAATAGACTTACACTGAACCATGTGGGAACACATCAGATCTGGCAGTCCAGTTTTTCACACCACCACCAACACCTTTAAAGTACCACCACGAATCCAACTGCAGATATCTTAAAAAGAATAAAATAAAAAGAAATATAATTTATTTGAATGAGACACATAGCAATTTAACGCATGTAAAATACATTGTTTTTTTTTTTACAAGGAATTCGAACACCCGCTGCAGAATGATCACCGTCCTTTGAATGTCATTTTATAAACATTTAAAAAACGTTTTCATAAATAAAAACAAAGACAAAATACTACCACATTTATTATAAGACATGAATCATAATATAATGTGACATTTTTTAAGTGTACGAATTGTATGTTTTGCATCTTCACGTAATCACCTGAAAGGTATTTGATCAATATCAATATGCAACTTGACAGCTAGCATTGTGTCCTCATAGTTCTTACCAGACTCAGTATTGTAATAATAATAAGCACCTACAAAAGAAATCAGACATTCGATGAATTATTGATTTCATCTGCAGTTTCTGGACTCATTTTTAAAAGCCTGTGTATTATAGACTCATGGCTGTTCTGTTTTAGTGGAAAATTTTGTAAATCAAAATTAACTTTTAAAATTGTATTTGAAAGCACTATTTAATAAATGTTAACTGTTGAACATATATCTTGTCATTGAGGTATTGAATAATTTTTATACAAAAATTAAAATGGCATCACTGCATCATTTCACTATTTTTGGGGGGGGGGGCAGGAAAAGCGAAATCTGTGTGTGTGTTTTTTTGAATTGCTGTATTGCAACACAGAAAATATAACTTGTACAAATCATTACTCAAATTAATGGGACTTACCATTGTCTGTATAATAACCTAAATAATTAACCATAAAATCAGATTTCATGTTTGCTCTTGTTTTCCCATAATTCTTTAGCAGCGTTTCACCCCATTCATAGATTGCCTGGAAAAATAACATCATAACAATAAGTATAAAATAATTTTGAAAAAAAAAAATCAATTGAAAATATGGAAGCAAATACTTTGTAAATACGGTACTAAACTATTATATTAAGAATGGTGTCGTCAGCTGTTTATTTAGGTGTCACGCTTGACTCAACACTTTGTTGGAGACCCCATATCGATAACATTGTTAAAAAAATCAATAAAACAATTGGGATAATCTCATACTTGAGGCATTATTTACCAAAATCCATTATGATATTACTTTACAACTCGTTGATTCTCCCACACATTGCTTATTGTATAGAAATATGGGGACACACTTTTAGCACATATATTGATCCAATTTTTAAATTACAAAAAAAGTTTGTCAGATTAATTTCTTTCTCTCATTTTCGAGCAAGTACCACACCACTTTTCCTGCACTTGGCATTCTTGATGTGTATAAATTATGTAAGTATAATACATGTTTATTTGCATACGATTTGAAA